CAGGTTTGGGCATCTCCAAGGGTTGTGAAAGGAGTGTCCAGGTGTGAGGCTTCATCTCCGGTAATGGAGAAAGCTCACGGAAGGGGTGTCAAGTCAGAGGGGGAAGAGTCTGACGGAGAAGACACAACTGCTGGCCCTAATGGGTCAGTAGGGTATCAGGTCACAGGTGCGTGGAAAAGTGTCGCACAGTGTGATTCTGGGAATGTTGAAGGGGTTCAACAGGTGCCTGGGAAAGATGCCGGGAAGTGGCACAAGGCAAAGGGGAAGGTGTTGAACTCAAAGGGGTCTTGTCAGAATGTGATGCAGAGGGGGTGTTGGGAGTTGGAACTTAACTGGTTAAGAAGTTCCCAGGATGCCTCAACATTCTGACGTCAGCTGTGGAAGCTGGGAGGAGCCTGGGAGTGGTTTCTGTTCTGTTCCCCTCTGGTCTTTGAGGGAGAAAGACGTAGCCGGTAATGGCTGAAAGGAGCCCAGGAGATTCCTGGGGGAATGTCGGAATAAAGAGCTGAAAAGGACAAACCTGGACTCTGTGTGTGTTTGTCTGGAAGCTGGGAAAAGGACGTGACAGTTTACACCGCTGTGTGAAACTCTGCTACAGGTGTGACTGGAGCTACCGGACGACGGAGCTGAGTGGCGCAGCTGAGGGAAGCGCGCCGGACCGGGCTGCCATAAATAGCTAATTGAGGACCAATAAATCAATTAGCGGGGCCCCAAAATCGTATTTCACCACAGTTTTGACCCCCTGAGCAGCTTCCTAGCAGGAAGCAGGATCTGTCTGGAGCTGAGCAGTCAAGGTCGGTGCTTGTACACCCTGCAGAACTTCCTGCAGGACTCAAAGACCCTGGGCGGAGTCCTCATTTACTGAGCAGACCTTTTGGCTGCTGTAGCTCCACATCAGCATATTACCCTTGGTGCTGAAAGCACCTCACTGCTTGCCAGAACATCACCAAGCCAATATGACTGCTAGTGAGAACCAGTGTGGCATAGTGGTTAGAGCATCAGACTAAGACCTGGGAGACCAGGGTTCGAATCCCTGATCGGCCATAAAGCTCATTGGGTGTGACCATAGGCCAGTCACTGACTCTCTGCCCAATCTGCCTCAAAGGGTTGTTGTGGGGATTAAATGTGCACCACTTTGAGCTCCTCGGAGGAAAAAGTGGGCTGTTGTTGTTTTTAGTCGTGTCCGACTCTTCGTGACCCCATGGAGACCAGAGCACGCCAGGCACTCCTGTCTTCCACTGCCTCCCGCAGTTTGGTCAGACTCATGTTTGTAGCTTCGAGAACACTGTCCAACCATCTCGTCCTCTGTCGTCCCCTTCTCCTTGTGCCCTCCATCTTTCCCAGCATCAGGGTCTTTTCCAGGGAGTCTTCTCTTCTCATGAGGTGGCCAAAGTATTGGAGCCTCAGCTTCACGATCTGTCCTTCCAGTGAGCACTCAGGCCTGATTTCCTTAAGAATGGATAGGTTTGATCTTCTTGCAGTCCATGGGTCTCTCAAGAGTCTCCTCCAGCACCATAATTCAAAAGCATCCATTCTTCGGCGATCAGCCTTCTTGATGGTCCAGCTCTCACTTCCATACATCACTACTGGGAAAACCATGGCTTTAACTATACAGACCTTTGTTGGGGTATATATGCCATTAATAGCAATAATTAATGAAATTAGGGCATAAAGCCCTCAATGGTCTAGGACCATGGCTCTTAAACACAGGCCACATTATTGTAATCATCTGAGGAAGCAGGCCTGACTTTCCCACAGTTATTCACATATTCCTCTACTTTGTATGCAAACCAAAGCTTTATAGCTTAGTGGCACCAGTAATTTGGAATGCTGTTTCTATTGAAGTGTAGACAGGCACCTACAATTATTCTATTTTGAAACGTACTCAAAACATTTTCATTTCACCAAGCTTTTCAGAGAATTTGGTCACACACAGACACTCGTGAGTAGCACCTGCAGATACATGGTAGTTCCACGAGGGAAAGGGCCTTCTCACAACTCTCGGCACTGTTTGTTAACTAAAGCTGCCAGGATCCTTTCGTGGAAACCACAACTGTTTAAAGTGGCATCACCATCGTCATAATTTTATTATTTATACCCGCCCACTCTGGGCGGCTTACAGTACACAGTGTACATAGTGCTTCAAATTTTTTTGCAAGTACAGTGGTACCTCAGGTTAAGAACTTAATTCGTTCTGGAGGTCTGTTCTTAACCTGAAACTGTTCTTAACTTGAAGTACCACTTTAGCTAATGGGGCCTCCCACTGCTGCTGCACGGCCGCTGTGCGATTTCTGTTCTCATCCTGAAGCAAAGTTCTTAACCTGAGGTACTATTTCTGGGTTAGCAGAGTCTGTAACCTGAATCGTATGTAACCTGAAGCGTCCGTAACTTGAGGTACCATTGTAAAGAAGGGTGTCAGTCATATATATGATTTTAAGTTCTGAGCTGCGATTTCGCTATTCTGACTTCAACAGATCCTGCATGCGTGTATGATGTTCTTATGAACCTCACCTTCTAAGAATTGTCCATGAGGTTTCCTCGACTGGATCATGGGAGTGTGGGACTAGGCAAGCCTAGCTCTAACCACTGTACTTTACTCTCCTCTCTGCCGTTTCGGCAGAACAGATCCCCATGGATCTGCACCTGCAGCGCCAGGGCCCAGCCCCGAAGCCACCCTTCTGCCTTGTGTGTGGCCTTGCCTCGCACCCGGTGCCTTGGCGTGGCGAGATGTGGCAGGTCGTGTGCCGTGGAGACTTTGGTGTCTGCACGGCTGCCGTTTGCACTTGAAAGATTTGAGGCCTGCGAAAAGGAAAAAGAGGGAGGGGGAAAAAGAAGCATTTAATTATCTGGGCAATTAATTCCACTCAGTATAGCTCGTGGGGAGGGGGTAGACCTGATGTCAATGGGGACGCTTATTTAATGAGGTAATGATGCTGCGGGGGAGGGGGGACCCGAAAACCCCTGGTGAATTCCTCAGCCAGAGAAGGAGGGAGGAAGAATCCACCTGAATAAAGGGAGGGGGGACGGATGGTTGGAGAAGAGGTTGCCTTTATGGAGGCACAAAAGATTTCCGAATTCCCCCAGCCTCCGCAGCTGCCCCCACCTCAGCCCCACGTCTGGGAATGCTGCCCACAACAACTTGGGCCTTGGGAGACGCCTCACAGTTTCTCCCCACGCTGGGCAGGCTAATGCCTTGCCAATGTCCCCCTCCCCCCCGCCGCAGCCAATCCACTACTCCTGCTTGGAAAGCTGGACTTTTTACTATCGAAGATACGCCTGCCTTGGTCCCTCGGGGGCCAGAGTGGCATTCAGCCCTGGCATCTCCTTCGGCCTGGAGGGAGGCCAGCCATGGCGGCACGGACATTTTAATGAAAAGCCCATCGATGTGGGCAGGCCGGGTCGGGCTGGCTTGGCTAAGTGGGCCGGGGGGGGAGTGGCACAGACTCCTGCCGGGATGGCAGCCAGGCCTGCGCCTGCCCGTTCCCATCGGGCGAGGAGGATTTGCTTTAAATGCCAGGCACAGCGTGCCGGCCTGCAAAGACAGACGTGGGCTGGAACGGCACAAAAGGAGCCCCCCCCCATCCCTGGCTCTCTTGTCCTGCCGTAGGAGGGCAGGCGGTCGAGTGCCTTCTCCTGGCTCACACCCTGACGTCCCCTCCAGCCACCCTCTCTGTCTTTGCTGAGGTGAGAGGAAACAGCAGAGCCTGAGAGTCCCAGCTCTATGATTCTCACGGTTGCAAAGGACGAGTGCTTCTGGCACCACACGGTCATCCCTAACTGCAGGGGTAAAGGTAAAGGTAAAGGGACCCCTGACCATTAGGTCCAGTCGTGACCGACTCTGGGGTTGCGGTGCTTATCTCGCTTTATTGGCTGAGGGAGCCGGAGTACAGCTGCCAGGTCATGTGGCCAGCATGACTAAGCGAACCAGAGCAGCACACGGAAATGCCGTTTACCTTCCCTGCCGGAGCGGTACCTATTTATCTACTTTCACTTTGACATGCTTTTGAACTGCTAGGTTGGCAGGAGCAGGGACCGAGCAACGGGAGCTCACCCTGTCGCGGGGATTCGAACAGCCGACCTTCTGATTGGCAAGTCCTAGGCTCTGTGGTTTAACCCACAGCGCCACCACATCTCCCTCTGTTGGGGGCTGCTTGCCTGTGGTGGACGGGCCAGAGGCTAAACTGGCCAAAGCAAGATATGTAACTTTTACCATTTGTACAGTAGGCTGGTGTCTACACACAGACACCGATACTGATAATGTTTCTGTTTCCTGTTAATTTTGTTGCTTTGAATATATACTTTATATCTGACTTTCTTCAATGATGCTTTATTCTGGATTGATTGATTTGAAGTTCGATTGTGTTGTCAACCACTTTGAGATTGTTCCTTCGACCTGTAAAGCAGTATAGGAATGAAATGAAAAATAATAATAATTATATCAAATGTAGTTCCAGATTTGCCAGGCTTGGAAAAGAAGCTTCTATTGTTTACATAATGAAGGAATGCCAAGTTATATAAAAAGTATTTATTTGGAGGTTCTAGTCCTTGTCAAAATCTCAAATTATGCCTAATTTCCCCCATGATAAATATATTCCAGAGTGAGTGATACCTAGCATCTGGAATAAGATCTTCCACTGAGCTTCAATCACTATTCATTCTGATATATATTTCAAGCGAAGAACTTGACAATTTGGGAATGGCAAAACTCCGTGGGAAACTTAGCAATGCGATCCTAACCAATGTTTGCCCAGGAGTGAGTCCTATCCAATTCAGTGGGACTTAACTGCCAGGCAAGCAGAGTTAGGATTGTAACCTGGAATCCCATTGCTGTCGTTTGGGTAAGATTGGCATGCATTTTCCTGCAACATCAGCCCGGTGGGGGAAGCACCACCTGCTAAAGTTCTTAGCTCTAGGGTCAGAAACCAAATGGGGTCAACTCTAAGCTTGGGCTGGTTGAGAAGGTGACCTCTGACTTCTGTTTCTTTTCTGTTCACCTGCAGAAACACTGATGGACTCCACGACAGCAACGGCAGAGCTAGGCTGGACCGTGCATCCACCATCAGGGGTGAGTTTGTGGGGAAGAGGGGTTCGTCAGTCTGACATGAGCAGGGATGTGTGAACCTATCAGTTTTGGCGTTTATCATTTCTCCAATCTTAAACTCAGTTCTCCCCATTTCTACACCAATTTGCTTTTAAAAAAAAAGTCCTTGTGAAAACTAATCAGCACTTTGTGCAGGTTTTCCTAATATACACATTTTGGCAAAACTATTTCCCCAGATTGAGTGCATCTTTGGAAGTCGTTTTCACAGATATATGTATTTTCATCCCAGTGTTTTGCATTTTTGTACGCATTCCTCAGCCGGATAGGTGAACTGCAGAATTAGGAGAAGTGTGAATTTCAAAAGGTGGCTGTTTTTCAGTTTGCGTGCGGGAAGTGTGAACAAGGCAAGTTTGCCTATAAATGTGAATCGAATGTATGCCCATCTTTAGACGTGAGAAAGGTCTCCTTGGTCAGGAACAACTTTCTATATTGGTCTCCAAGAAAGAGGGGAACGGGCTAGCTTCAAGTGGCTCTTCAGGGTTGCAAGTTGTGCTGTGATGACTTGGTGGTGGGAGATGGTGGATACAATTTGAATTATCTGGCAGGGTTGCAAACATGCAAAGCATGCAGTGCACGACGGACAGCAACACTGGTAGCTGCCTAATGACAGCTCCAACTGTTTGACTCACAGGCTGTCTGGCTGAAAAGAGTCCTGCTTCCCTGATCTGGGGATTGAACCTCAAACCTTTGACATGCCCTCCTGACAAGCTGCCCTATATTGAGTCAGACCATTAGCTCATCCAACCCAATATTGCTTACTCCGACTGGCAGCTGCTCTTCAGGATCTCAGACAGAGGCCTTCCCCACTCCTTGCAACCCAATCCTTTAAACAAGAGGTGTCTGGGATTGAACCTAGAGCCTTCTGCATTCAAAGCATGCAATCTACCGCTGAGCCTCTTCAATATTGACAAGGGAGAGGGAGGGAGAAGATTTGCAGGTTTCTGATGAAAAGCTCCCCCCTCCCCAAGCCAATTTCAGAACCCTCCATGTAATATGTATAAGGAGAAGGCTCCAAATGCTCGCTGCTCATTTGCGAATTGCACCGAGGAAAATGCCTAGGTAATTTTCCGTTGGAATGCCGCAAACTCTCACATAATAATCCTGATAAGGCTGACAGCGCTAATGAACGCAATTAGTTGATTAATTAAATTCATGGCAATTTATTTATTTTTTTAAAAGGTGTTTAATTGAGGGTGGGGACACTTTGGATGCCATTGCGGGAAGCAAGTTGCTGTTTAGGCATCACACTTTGAATAGGGTTTTTTTTTGGGGGGGGACATGCAAATAAAGCATTTGGTGGTGTTGAATCCAAGGAAATGCTTCTTTTCCCCAGGTAGTCTCAACACACACACACACACACACACACACACACACACACAGAAAAAAATCTGCTTGCAGATGTAACCTAGCAAGCAGCTACAGTAAGCCAGACCGGCTTCAGACAAGCAAATCAGAATCAGGGAGTTTTCTAGAGGCTGCATTTCATTTGTTAAAAAAATATATGCATATATACGACCCGTCATTTTGAACTGAAGGCATCTGCGCTGGAAGAATCAAATGCAAATTAAAAATAAGCATATTATGCGTAACCCAAATCAACCGGCAACTGGTCAATCAAATAAGCTGCAAGGATAGAAAGCAAAAGCTGGTAGTGATACTGGGAGTTAGAAAAGAAGCTAGTTAAGGAAACTCAAGGCAAATGCCTCCAGGGAATCCTGGGAATTGTAGTTCCCACATACATAGAGCTACAATTCCCAGCACCTTTAGCAAGCAACAGTTCCTAGGATTATTTAGGGGAAGCCATGTGTACTAACTGAGCCTTCGATGTGTTTTCACGTGGATCTGCTTTTACTGAAACTCACAAAGGCCCTGAATGCCCTCTTCAACAGCATGGGCTATGTACACACTGTAGATATGAAGCACATTTAAGACACATCACTAAAGAACCCTGGGAACTAGTTTGGTAAGCATGCTGGGAATTATAGTTCTGTCAGGGGCAAACCACTTGGGGGCCTCTGGGGTTGCTTTCTAAGCCAACCAACAAGGAGAAAGCAGAGCGGTATGATTGCAGTTTACTTCCTCCACCCAGCTAGGCCAGGGGTGCGGAGTCTTTTTCAGCCTGAGGGCCAAATAGCCTCTTTGGCAGCCTTCTAGGGGCCACATAGGGACGTGGGTGGTGCTGTGGACTAAACCACTGAGCCTCTTGGGCTTGCCGATCAGAAGGTCGGCGGTTCGAATCCCCTTGAATCAACCTAGCAGTTCAAAAGCATGCCAGTGCAAGTAGATAAATAGGTACTGCTGTGGCAGGAAGGTAAACAGCATTTCTGTGCACTCTGGTTTCCACCACGGTGTTCCATTGCACCAGAAGCAGTTTAGTCATGCTGGCCACATGACCCGGAAAGCTGTCTGCGGACAAACGCCAGCTCCCTCAGCCTGAAAGCGAGATGAGCGCCGCAACCCCATAGTCGCCTGGACTTAACTGTCCAGGTTTCCTTTACTTTTACCTTACCTTTTAGGGGCCACATGTATCAGGCAAGCAAGGGGTGCACGAATGTGTCACTGCCCTGGTGCTGGCGCTTGGGACATAAAGGAGAGGGTGCTGCTTCTGCTCTCTGGGCTTGGAATAACAGAACCATAGAATTGTAGAGTTGGAAGAGATCATAAGGGGCCATCTAGTCTAACCCCCTGGAACTCTGGGACGCTTTTGCAGCCTCGGGCTTCCCCATCTGTAACATGGGGGCAAATCATAGCACTTCACTTCCTTGCAGATTAGTTGCAGGATCCGTAGAGCTAATGTGTGTGCTGAACGCTTTGACTGCTTCATGCTATGTGAACGCTAAGTGTTTTTCTTGCTATTAACATCGGGAGTCCAGCCAGTAGCCAGTAAACCTGAACCGCTTGGGTCATGGTGATGGAATTCACCTGGCAGGAACTGCCACAGCGATCCTGTAGGGTGTGAGCTGGGATCAATTAGCCAGAGAGGAAGTCTGGAGCAGAGAGCAGCTGCCAGGAAGGGAGGGGAGGAGGACAGAGGCAGGATGGGGAGCAGGTCTAAGCAGGGACTGAAGGGAGCCAGGCTGAACCAACAATTTCTGGGTTCTGCTCAGACTCGGGAAGTGCAGACACAGCAGGTTTCAGGAGCTACTCAGAACCTAAGCAGACTTTCCATGAAAGGGTGAATGTCAACAGAGTCCATCTTACTCCTGTGGCTGGTCCCCGAGGCTTCTTGGAAACATGTGAGCAAGGTACCAATGACATTTCCTGTTATTTTGTCCCTGGTATTCATGGGTACGCCTGTTTTCCAGGGGGTGGGGGCAACCAGAAGTTCCTCTAAGATTCTGTAATTCTATGCTTCTAAGCAGAGCTTGGATGGCCACCTGTCAGGGATTATTTCGATGTGATTCCTGCATTGCAGAAGGTTGGACTAGAATCTAGATGATCCTCATGGTCCCTTGCAGCTCTACAGTTCTATGATTCTACAAGTTCCATCAGACCTGACTATAGGCCAAACTAGCAGGGGCTGATGGGAGTTGTGGTTCAGAAGCAATTTAGAGGGCTGCAGGTGAGTCACTCCTGTTCTGATGAGTTATCACAGGAGGTTGCTGTGGCCAGGCTTCTCCAGAACTCTTCTTTTACCTTTTAATTTTTCATGAAGAGTTCTGATGGACCAGCAGAAATGTCCATCTCTGGGGTGGGGCACGGGGGTTAAATAGAAGGCATGATTCATTGAGTTTTGGCTGGTGCCTTCATTATACACTCCTCCTCCTCCTCCTCCTCCTCTTCTTCTTCTTCTTCTTCTTCTTCGATCCCTCATAGCTGAGTAAAATTGTCTTCCATGAACACAGTTTTAACAGTGAGTCCGTAAGTCTTAACAGTGAGTCTGTAAGTCCGTAAGTGTGGAGACCAATTCTGGATCCACGTATCCTTCCACAATGGGGACATAGGTTTCCAGATGGGAGTTGATCACAGTGAGGGTTTGCCAAACGTGCCTTCCTCTTCCTCCCTTTCGTCCTGAGTTTGAGCATCTTCAAAGTCCATGACACCTTTGGTCAAGGTTGTTCTCCAGTTGGAGTGCTTGCAGGTCAGTGTTCCCCAGTTGTTGCTGTTTATACTACATTTTTTTTTAGATTTACATTGAGAGCATCTTCAAACCTCTTTTGTTGACCACCAGCATTACACTTTCCATTTTTAAGTTCGGAATAGAGTAGTTAAAATACACTGTTAGGCTCTAGGTGAAAACTTTAACCAGACCATTGGCTGATGAACAGCCTATACCCTTTTAAATGTTTTTGTTTGGGGGGTGGGGTATTGGTTTGTTTGTTCTTGTTTTTATTATGTATTTTGTGTTTTTTATCATGTTGCAAACTACCCTGAGATCTATGGATGAAGGGCGGTATACTAATTTAATAAATAAATAACAATAGTAGAGTTGGAAGAGGCTTCAGAGGTCATCCAATCTAGTCCACCACTGACCCGCTGATGCAGGAAATCCCCTGCCACAACAGCCCTGAAAGGTGGGCCACCCAGCCTTTGCTTGCAGCGAAGGATAATTCACCACCTTGTGAGACCATCTGCTCCACTGTCAAACAGTGTGTGCCATCTGGGCGTCTTTCCTAATATTGTGTCTAAATCTTATTTTCTTGTAATTGGGCAGAGTTGTGCGCACCAACTACTAGATTTGGCTCAGACACTGATTCAGCGCTTTGAAAGTTTCCTAGTTCGGTTCGGACCCAAATCCCAATTTAGAAAAATGAAAGTAAAGCTTGTGCCTCCCTCTTTTTTTAATTATCACATGAAAAATTGCTGGGTGGGAGAGGCTATAACCTATTTCCCTTTTGACGGAACTTGATGACACTTGCGGATAGAGTTGCTCGGCATGAGTGGATGAAGCCTGCCAAATTGCAGGCAGATAGGTCCAGGGAGTTTGTGATGGGAACCTTTTCTATTTTATTATTATTTTTAAA